CCCCCCCCCCCCCCCCCTTTTTTTTTTTCTTTTGGTGCTACAGAAGCACTGCTTTTCCCAAGTAATTAAATAAGTCATTACATTGGACACTAGTAACCTAAAATCAGCCATGGCATATGAAAAACAAAATGGTTAAAGGAAAACAACCTTTGGCTGAAATCTCATATGCCAGCAGTTCAGCCTAAATCCTGCTCTATAAATCTCTGATAAGTGCTGACTTAGTGACATACTGGTTGCTGTGAAATGAAGTATAAACAACTATTTGCTTTCATTTCATGCAAAATTTATCATCACTACAAAAGCACAAAAGAAAATATGGCACTATCAGCTGGGTCTGATTTTATCAAGACAATGGAAATCATCATAATTTGAAAGCTTTTGAGGAGGAAAGAGCCTTTCATTTTTCTCCAATCTTTGTTTATGCACTATGATCTTTTTTTTTTGTTTAGTTTTTCTTTAATGGAGAGACTGGAACAGAAACTCAACTTATTTTTTTTATTTTTCTTCTCTTTTAGTTTGCTTGTTTTTGTCAAGGAGTTCCTCCTTTCTCCATAGTTTCAATAGTTTCATATACTGTGGAACCAATCTCCACAGCACTCTGGGACTTGAGAAGCTGAAGATATTTGGACTTTGAAATGCTTACATTAGCTCCAAAAGGTAGAAGACTAGGTCACTTGCTAAGGTCCCAAAAAGCTTCTGACCAGTCCACTCTTATGTGTTACACTTACGTATTCTGAGGTTGAAAGACTCAACTAGTTACTGCAAAATTAATCATTATCTTGATCTATGTTATGAGAAGTACTGCCTTGTTAGCTTTATCTATGTCCATAATCAAAATTTCCACTGCAGAAAAATTAAGAATTACAGTTCTGCTTTTACTAATTTCCATATCTGCCATGTTGTTCAGGAGTTACCATAAGAATCTTAAGAATCTCTAACTGATAACCCTGCCAGAAACCATGAGAATCCACAAAGATTTAACGTGTTTAACGTGATATATTATACTCAACTGTTAGGAGACAAAAACCGCAAGTGCCCTCTATTTTCCATATCACCTTCCTGTATCTTGATAGGAGAAATCTTCCAGCCACGACTGAAAAATGGTTTGGTCTCTGTTTTGCTCACTGGAGCCACATAGCTATGTGGCAAGGCAGACAATAAGCAATTATAAAGAAATCATACACTATTGTGTTCAGTTGCTTTATAGCCATGCCAAAGCACCCAGCCAAATTTATGGAGACCCTCTAAAAAGCAGGAAATATTTAAATCATGGGCCTGATTCATTTAAGCATCTGTTTGCTCTCTCTGCAATAGAAACATTGAAGTTAGCAAGTGCAGAGTGAAGGCAAC